CGTCGGGCTGGGCGGGCCGGGGTTTGTGTCCGTATCGCCCCGGGGTGTGAAGGACGGGAGGAGCCGCAGCGGTTCGTTAATAAACCGTTAACGGAGACGTTCTGGTGCTGTGCAGTTTCCACTTAACAATCTCATAAAGCTCATTTAAAAAATCTCATTAAAACCAATCTCCTAAGGCAGGAATTGATCTCATTGCTGCGTGAGCAACACAACGCTCAGGGGCAGTGAGAAGCCAAGAGGGTTTTGCTGAATTTGCGAGCGGCGTTGTCTGGCAGAAGGAGCTCCCGGCTGGTGTTTCTGCTGTTGCTGTGCTCTGTCTGTCTGGGTTTGAAGGGGATGGATCTGGAGTCACTGGAAGTGCTGCTGGAACTGTATGTTTGGAATCTCGACTTCAGCTCCCCGGGTGTGAACACGCTGAAATTCTGTGTTACTCGAGCACGGAGAGCTTGCATTGATACGCCAAGTCCAAAGAGCTTTTAATTATTAACTCTGGAATGGGTGTTCTTTTTCTTCTGAAGCAATTAAGTGTCTATGATAAGAGTACAGCTCTCACCTTTTGTATGTAAATATGTAATTAACCTTAATACAAATAGCCCTTGTGACAGGGGAGTAACTCTGGGCAAAGGTACTTCCCTGATCAAGGCCTAAGCTTTCAGGGTTGGGGTTGGTTTTTTGTTTGGGTTTTTTGATTTTTTTGTAGTGCCCCCAGCAGTTTCAGGCAGTTCAACAAGGCATTGCCTTTAGTATTTTTAAATGTCAGCTGGGTATATTCTTGAAGGTTGCAATCCTGCAGATACTTGACCTGGCTTAATTCAGGCTGTGGGTCTCTAAGCTAAACCATCTCACAGCCCATCTGCCTGCCACGGTTCCCTGTACTGCTGGGACCTCCTGCCTTGTGCTCCCCGGGGTGCCCAGGTCTGGTCTCCGCTCCTTTCTGCTGCCTGTGGCCGCTGCCACCAGCGACGTGGTCAGCCCTGTCTGCTTGCTGCAGTCCTTGTCTTTCAGCCCTCCGCTGTAGGGACTGCGCTTTCAGATCAGGCTCCTGTCACAGGCTTTGTTTAAAAAAAAGATGAAACAAAAAAACCCACCACCCAAACCCACTCTTTTAGGGATCAGTGCCACGCTGAGTGCACGGGTAGTACAAGCCCTGATCATACCTTCTTCTCTTTTAAATTTCTAGTACCTCAGAAGTGGGGCACAAAGAATACACCTCTTTACTCTGTGAGGATCCTTATTTAAACAGCACCAGAATGATTTGCTGGGGAACCGGAAAACAATTTACTATCTCATTTCTCAGCATTAATACAGGGAGCTGAGTTAATCCCAGGACACCTGGAGGCAAGGTCTACATCTCAGTTTCAGGTTGCGTGTCAGCAGCTTCTGGTTGCAGTTGGGTGATGACAGTAACCTTTGGTATGGTTGTGTTGTGTAGCAGGTCATAGCTGCCCTTGGAGGAGAGCGCAAGGATGTCTTCAGCTGTGGTGCCTGGTGTGTACTCCCTCGTGTACCTGCGATGGGACTAGCAAGCCTGCGTGTTCTGTACTCCAAGCCAGAACCAACTCTACCTGTGTTGTGTGTGTGCCAGAGCTGTGTTAATGCTTTTGTCTCTCTTGGACAATACAGCCAGCACCATTAACTAAAGACTTATTTTTTTTGCTGTCATTAGTGAAAGGAGAGACGCGTAGCGCTCTCGGCAAGTGGGTGCTGGTCTGAGTGTATGACCTGTAAGAGCAGTTGGCTCAGGAAGCAATGGGAATGATGCAGAACCATCAGCATTGCGTACGGCTGGTGTGGTGGCGCCTCTCATAGCTCGAGGTTTGAAGAAAAGAAGTGACAGTGCAGTGGTGGTGTGGGCTGAGAGCTGCACCAGAGCCTTGCTGGTCCTGTTTCTGTAAGGGAAACTGCCACCCTGCTGGCACATCAACTCTTTGATGGCACTGGAGCTGAATCAGGTGTGGTGGCAAAACCTCATGTTATTCACCTTTGATACCAGAATAGAGCTCACTTGGCTGTTACCTTTTAAGAGCAACACTCTGTCTGAGTTTTAGATGCCTTAGTTATGCCTGTAGCCAAAAACTGTGTTTTGTCAAGAGGCTGTAGTCTCTCTTGCTATAAATCTTGTCAGGTAAGGGATCTACTTTAAAGAGAAGCTGGAAAAAGGTTTTTGTTTTACCCTCTCCCTTTCCCCACACCAGAAACAACCTGAGATCATGAGGCTTTCCCTGTTGACACCAAGGGGATGCCTGATGCATCAGTGTCCGTCAGCTTCAGGGAGGCTCTAGGTTTTTACCTGGTTTGCGTATTGCATGTCGTGGTCTCTAGGAATAGCTACAGAGCAAGGCAGAGGCTTTTGT